CTTTGGTCCTTGTCTGCTTGCCTGTCTTTCCAGTTTCCTTAGCACTGATAGGGATCTTCTAAACGTTTCACATTTCCCTGTGCCTGCCCTATGGTCGCTTGTTTGGCAGATTAGGCATTTTTCTCCATTCTGTGTTTGCTGCATGGCCTTCTTCCTCACATCTGTAGCATAATCTGCTTCTGTCTGATCCTGTGTAATCTTCCGTGGCGTGGTCATAATTCCATCACTTGTAGCACTTTTTCATGTTTACCTTTCTATCCAATTTGTATCTCACTAGTCCTATGAGCAGTTTCGTCTTTTCAGCTAGAATTTGTTCTGCTTTTTGTACTTGACTATGCTGTTATCGTAATCGCCTGGGTGTTGTCTCGATTTGGTCTTAACTCACTTGGGCTGAAGTCTCCTTCTTCTACTTTCAGCTCATGTCGTAGCGCGTTGGTAATATCATCTCTTGTTGTTACCGCATCTATGCCTCCTAAGGTACACCAATTCATTACGTTTATTTCTCTCCGGTCCCACTATCCTTACGGTCGTTTCTTTGTTTGATTCTTTGATTTTTTCTTTAAGTATTTTTATCGCATCATCGTCTTGGTCCATTGTTGTGAATAACTTTTCATCCTTTGTCTTTCGCATGGCCTTGATAATGTTGCTTTCGTTCGTGTTTTTGGTCTCCGTCTTGACGTTTCCTAGCATCTTCTAGAAGTCCTCGCCCTTTTGATCTACTTAGACTATTAAGGCATATGTTGGTCTTTCTTTTTTCAGGTTTTCTGTCATTTTTATTTGGTTTGTCCATTGTGCCATCTGGTTGCTCATTGTTGTGTATATAAAAACGTTTGGATTTGTTTTTTGGAAGATTACTTCTGTCATTTTCCTTAATTTATCAAGGCTGATACGTTTAACGTGGTGAACAGCCACCCAGTATCATCATTCCTTGTTTCCTTGTTTCTTCTCGGATTTGTATCAAGGATTTCCATAGTTCCTCGTCAGAGGTATCCTGTAGGATTTTGATTATCTTTTGCCCGCTTGCCTTTTCGGATCCTCTTATTTTTATTGTTTGTTCCAGTACGCCAAATGCCTCTCTGATTTCCATGATTTCTGGGTATTTCCTTCTGAAGAGGAGTTGTACGCTTTCATTCATATAGACGTCTGTTGGTTCTACTAGCACTACTTTTACCACGCAGGATTCTGTGTCCAGCGGGTTTCCTACCTTTATTTCTGTTTTCGGGTATACTTCCATGTTCCATCTAAGCTTTCCTATGTTTTCGAAGTCTTCCAGTGTCCATATTCGATTTAGAGTGTTTACGTCTTGTTCCCTGGGGTTTAAGGCATTGTCAGTCTGCGATGATGCGTCATTCATTAGGGGTCTTAGTGTAGTAGCTGTTTGTTCGTTCTGGACTTCCGCGGGTTTTGTGGGTTTCGTTTTGCAAGTTGAGCATGTGTGAGGGGCGTCTCTGGGTGTTTCTTCCTTCCGGGGGCTTGTTTGTGTGTCCGCTTCAAAACACATTTTATCTGTTTTTTCATATTTGTGCTGGTCCATTCAACCGCTTATCACTCTTCTATTTATAATCTCAACCTATTTCTGGAGTCTTTCCGCGATATCTTTGTTTTCTCTTTTTTGTTCTATCCTTCTGGTTAGCTCTGCAACTAATTTTGTGATGGCTCCAAGTGCTTCTATTAGTACAAAGACTTCCGAGCTTTCTATTTTCTTATAGACCTCTCCTTCATTTTTTTCGGAGGTGTCTTTCCTTTTTCTCTTATTTGTTTCGTCTAGGCAGAGGGAAAATCGTCTTGATGTCTCTACTTCTGTCATGGTCGTTTCTACTGAGGCCCTTCTGCCGTCATCCCATGTAAGATCAACTATACTTAATTTTCTTCTTTCTACGCCTTTCTTCTCAACTGTTTCGATTGGGGTTTTCCCCTTCTTTGTCTTTGTTCCAGTAACAGTCACCCGCGTCCCGGCCTGGTTCCCTACCAGGGACGCTGTACAGTCGCTTGATAACGGTCGGGCCTGGCCTGCACTTCCACCAGCGATCCCGACCGGAACTTAGGTCTCCGTCCTCTGCTCCGTAAACATATTTTGATTTTCGTGGCGTCCCGTCATATTTGTTTGGTATGTGTTTTTTTCTGGAATTTAGGAGAGAGAGAAGGATGTAGCCTAGCCCACAGATGCCCTTATAGCGTCGGGGAGGGGGGGGGGGTGATTGTGGCAGGGGAGGGTTTGGGGTTGAGGGTGATTGAAATGGGACCGCCCTGGGTGTAGGGTGAGAGCCCAGCTAGAATACCTCGGGTTTATCAAGCCTGTGTCCGCAGTGCAGATCTCTGACGTTGAGCTGTCCTTAGCAGCGGCTGACCAATCGAATGCACGCTCAGTCGCTGTGCCCCTCCACCAACGACAAGGTCTCACAGCTCCCCCGAGCCTAGATGAATACTTTTTCACCACACGACACATAATTTCTTCAGGAAGACGTGAGTCTTGCATTTGGACGACATGACCAGCCCAACGAGGCTGATGTTGGATGAGCATTGCCTCAATGATGGAGGAATTGGATTCCCCAAGGATACTGTTGTTTGTTCGCCGTTCCCGCCAGTTTATTTTGTGTATTTTTCTTGAGCAAGCTGATACTTGTTTAAGCACTTACGTTGCCGTCTGTCGGTTGTCTAGGTTTCATATCTGTGGAAAAGTATTGGTATGAAGATGGCATTGTAGACCGCTTAGTTTGGGCACTTCTATCGTGGGTGTCTAATAACACTCTTTTCAAGAGACGTCCAAAGCTGCGCTGGCGCACTTTAGTCGATGTTGAATTTTCGCTTGTGTGAAAAGATAACTATCGAGGTATGGAAACAATTCTATATTTTTTAGAGGTGCTCAATTGATAAATAAAGCTGGATCTGGTGTATTTGTATTTGGGGCGGGCTGATATAGGATTTTTGTCTTATCTATGTTTAGTTCTAGACCGATGCTTTCGAGTGCTTCGTTAAATGCATTCAAAGAAGTTTGCGGTTCTTCCTCGGTGTTTGCCAGGACAGCATATTGGGGCTCAGAAACAGATGTGGATACCTTGTAACGAGCCAAAACTGTCTAACTATTTCTTGCTTGTTTTTCAGTTTTCTATTCAAGATTCCTTTAATTTTGTTTACCTTATCCTCTATAAAATTCGAACAATAATTACAGCAGTTGCAGATCCTGTAAATTTTCTAATTTTCAATATTTAAATTCTATTCTCATTGTTTTTAATCCATATTTTAAATTCCATTTTTAATTTGATTTTCATAATAATAAACAAATAAATATTTATTTGTCAAAAATATTTCTTTTGGGGTTATGTCCCCAAATCATAATAATCCGTTTTCAAAGTGTATGTACCGAACTACTCGGTTCGGCTATTGAACTCAGTACAGTTCTAGTGGAACCCGGTTCAATCATTGGTTCCATAATCTTTGATATGTGTTCTGCGCTATCCTTGCTTTCTTTTTTTTTTGACTTTTGAAGTGTCATTAATTTTTGTCAACGGGCTGTCGATTAGTAATGTTTTTAGTTTTTGGGATCGTCGATTCCTGTTAAGCCCTTCAATTTTGCAACACGAATCACTTACTCCATATCGTATTCTTCAAATTATAATTGTTCTATTGGATAATTCCTTGTTGTTATTTTCATTATTCGTCAACCGTTGTCATTTTTCTCTGATTATATTGTTGTGTGCAATTTTTGGTAAGTAAGAATTCTATCGATTAATTTTTGACAGTTGTCGTTATCCTGAATCATCTCTGAATCCCTACCTTTAGGTCAGCTAATTAATTTGATGTGTAGCACATTTCTTTCACGTTCTGGTTGCAGGGTCTCCTGAAGAATCTAATTTTTTTCCTTCGCCTTAAAAAGGGATTTTGGACCTAATTTTCTTCTTAATTGAATTTATGGCACACTGAGTTTTCTTGCGTTGTGTGTAGTTTTCGTAAAGTGCTATAATTTTCTCCGATGTTATCGGATTTGAAAACAACCATTTCGGTAAGTCTTGCTGTGCACGTTTTTTCCCACAAGTAGATTCTGACTTTTTTCATTTAATCATTAGTGAAAAGCTGCCCTGAAGAGTAGATATCTTGGCTCGAAGTCTGCTTAGAATAACGGGCCTACCATCATTTCTAGGAGAGTTCATCGCTGCGCGGAAGGTTTTCTTGCACAGGGTGAAGTACAACTCTTACAAATGTAGAGATAGACTTGCCGCAATGACACATCCCTGCTCGAATCTGGTTGTGATTTTGAAGGCTTCTCCGGGTCTGTTATCAGTGAGGACAGTGGCGTTCATGTTGTTATGCAGTAAACGGAGTATGTTGATGAATTTAGGCGTGCACTGCTAGTATTTTGCAAAGAGCGACTCGAATAACAGAGTCAAACGTTTGGATAAGGTCGATAAATGCCATATGCAAAGGTTTGTTTTACTGTTCGGATTTATCTTGCACTTAAGATCATGTTTGCTGTCCGTCGGTTAGGTCTAGAAGCACAAGTCGGTTGAAGAGAATTCTGGAAAAAAGAGTAGTGATATTCTTCGGTAATTTCCATACTGTGCCTTATCGCTTTTTTTTTTAATCAAGTTTGGATAAAACGACGTGCTGAGTAGGCATCAGTTATTATAATCAAAAGAAAAAGGAAAACTCGCATAACAAACAAAGATATCGCAGGATGACCTCGTCACAGATGGCTCACACTGTTGAGTCATTAAAAATATGATACACTCTATTATTTTTATAAATTCAAATTATGTAGTTAACACTATCTGTTAAAACTTTATAATTTCATACTATGAGCTAAGGGCAATCATCTCTTCGCTCACAATCTTCGTAGTAGGTGAATTTTCAAATTTGACAACAGACATTATTTGCAACTTTTGGCAGTTGTTTGATCATTCAACTGATCGATATCAGAAAACATAAATTTAAGGTATATAATATGATGAATTTGATGTTATAATTTAATGTAAAAACTAATGCAAATTTTTGTTCTTTTCCAGGTTTCCCAGCCGCCGCTTACGCAGCATATGCGGCCGGGCGTGGGTACTCGGGCTACCCTAGTTTCGGACTGCCCTATCCCACAGGTAATGCCCTCGCGGCAAGTTTACATCATCATCCTTTCCAACCACTTTTACCGTTAGCCCTCGAACACCCCCATCATCACTTGGGGGTATACGGTGGTGCTACCGCGGCCACTTTGCAAGCCTTGCCCCTGTGAACGATGCGACCGGCTGTGGCGCGCACGCACGCCGCGCATGCGCCTACCTTGCGCAAGTTACTGGTTGTGCGTACGTGCTAAAGCCAAACAATTTCATTTTGCTTTGATACGAAATTTAAAATGCATTTGGGACGTTTTAAATTCATGAGTTTGAAACTATTCGAAACGTCTTAATTTCATGTTTTCGCTAGCATTCCATGTTTATGTATTTACTTTTCAATTTGTCAGTAGGACGTTTTCGTTTTGATCAGTACTAAAAGTACTACTAATCGCGAATATAATTAGAATTTAAAGATATCCGCTTAACCAGTAGTATTGAAAACGTATTACAGCCTATGTGTAGCCAAATTCAATATAATTATTAAACTCTAGGATTAGGAAACGTTTATCTTTCTCATTGCGAGTACTAGCTCGCATTGGGTTAGTACGGGCATTTTAGGTAAAGAGTTGTTCTTCTATAGCTTTTTAGTAAGAAAACAATGTAGTTCGTTTGAAAAAATATTCGTCTAATATAAATAAACATTGTAGATTATAGGAGTTAGAATATTAACTTATAACCAGTTCAAATTACCGCCTCTTAGCTTCTTTAGTTTAAACGCTAGCTTCTTTAGCTTTGACAATTTAGCGGAGAAGATAAAAAAAAATAGCAAAATGTGATCGAGAAAATCAAAAAAGAAAGGGTTTGAACCTTGTAGCCAAAAGATGGATTTCAATTAGAAATTTAAATAAAAATTCAATGAATCAAGAAAGCGTTCACGATTCCATATGTAGCACCTCAATTATTGTGCAAAACTATATCTCATTTCTGCAGTATTTTAAGTGTTTGGTAAATAAATATTTTGCTACAAGTCACAAATCCAAATATTTCTGAAAATATCTACCAAAAAAAATCCCTAATTTATCATATTTTTGTATAATGGCTACAAAAACTACGCTTGATTTTAAATTGCCTATAAGTGCCGCTGCCAATAATAAAATGCCAAAATTCGTCCCATTTTCCATCCCGTGAAAATGATTTGAGGTGATTGGGCACAGCCTATAATATTTAAATAAATTGTACAAAGTAAGCAGTTGGTTTTTGCTTAACTTAACTTTTATCGCAGATGCTAATTATGAAATAATTATTGGGTCATTAAAATTTCAAATTGTTTGCAATCCAGTTTGTTTTTCTTTCTTTTAAAAAATTTATTTCAAATTGAATTTATATATTTTATTTTATTTTTTAATTATCTACTTTTTACGATGCGGGTAAGTTTATTTTGTGGTTCCCAAAGAATAGCTGGTTCTTCAAACATTAGTTTTATTCAGGAGTATAAAAAAAAAACAATATTGCAAATATCTCCATAATAATTCAGTGCATGGTCTCTTACATTAGTTAATGTAGTATAACACGCATTTCATGAACCGTCTGACCAATATTACAGATTAAAATAAAAGCTTATTTCGACAGAAGTTGCGATACATTTTCAGTGCAGGAATTCCAAACTAGGCAATACCATAATGAGTTTAAGAATTGCAGTGATTAGACCCGACTGGATGAATCAGTCAAACAGAACAAAATGCTGATTTGAAAAATGATATTCAGAAACAGTTTTTATTGAAGTAATTCTAGATATTTCCAATATTGTTTATGTTTTCTTGCACTGTATTGATTCGTTTCAATTTCTTATTCATCTTTGAAGAATTTCTAGCCGCCTTCGTTTACAGGAGCACGGTGAAGCAAAAAAACTTGCGGCTTTGCAACCAAAATATTTAGTTCAGCAGTATTGAGACAATTTTTAGCACAATTTAAATATTCCGTTGTAACAAGCCACAAGAAAAAAAAATGTCCTAAAACTCTCAAAACGTCCGAATACTAGGCGTACCCATTCGCGATTTCACTCACGATTTCACGTGTTGATTCTTTGAAAGGAATAGAGCCAATTTTCATCGTTTAATTATTAATACCGTTAATTGAAAATTGAAAATTGCAAAAACATCGACGTCGAATAAATATGTTTTATGATGCCAAACAACGGGGCCATGCATGACAAATACACACACAAACAAATAGTTAATATTATATTCAGTTAATGGTAATTATTTACCTTTAAAACGTTGCAGAGCAAGTTGTTATAAATCTAATTACAGGCGTGGAATCGTTTGAATAATAATTATCAGCACGCGTGACGTGTGAACAATGTGTGTTTTGTAGAGGTAATTTCATTGTTCGATGTAGCGTGATTTTAAAAAAGCTAATTGCTTATTAAAACGTTACATTTTATGAGTAGGTTTCGTTGATCATAATATCAATTTAGAAAAAATCTAGACAGATTCTCAAAAAATGGCTCTATTTCTTAAATAATTATCTGCAAACATTCGACTGGTTTACGTTCCCAATTTCACTCCGATTTACATAATTTACTAAAGATACCTACCTTGATAAGTACTAACATATCGTTTTGTCTGAGAGGTGCATTCTTATAATATGCGATAATTTTAAATGTGGGAGGTAATTTTAATATATAGGTTCAGTCACTCATTTGTTCGTTTGCAGATTAATTTAAAAATAAATTCTTGCATGTCATGATTATAATCCAATCGAAAAGGTATAACCGGATCATGTTATCAGTTTTCTGTAAAAGGCAAGACATTTCACTTGGTCAACTTTCTGGAAAATTGAATGGGATCGTCTTGCTAAACAGGCCAAAGAGAAAATCGGACAACTGAGTGATTAGAGTTAGCGAGGCTACGCCTGGTTAATATTGCTTTGTCAAGTGCGAGAAACAGTGCATTTTGGCATAAAAACCTTAAACAGCTTAGAAAAAGAAAAACTGGGTCTTAACGTCTCGCCCTACGAGGGATTTTATTTGTTTGTTTTCGCTTTGGAGTTGCCTTTTTTCTATTTTGGCATTCGTTTTTATTTTTGCAAACGAGACATTTAAAGGTTTAGTGTTATTTGGCGAGTTTTTATTTGATTTTTATTTGTGATAATATTCACTAACACAGTCTACAAAAAAAAACAAAAGAAATATCTGATAAGCAAGTGGCAAATTGATATTTTTTTATTACAGAAATAAAATGTTTGGAATCGTAGATTCCCGTTAGGGAAATGATTATGGGACTTATTGAAAATCAATTCACTCAAATAACATATCTTGGCTTTTTGTACTCAGGCGTGGCCTCCTTTTCAGTAATTTACCTTTTTAAAAACCACAAAACAATTTTAAATAAAAATGATCTTATTGTATGAATGAGTATGGGCTGTAAATATGATTAATCACTTTTTATTTGTTTATATTTATATTGGATAAAATAAGTATTCGATGTTATGAGACTGTTGCTTATCTTAAATATATTGCCAAAAAATAAATATATGTATATCATTATTATTATATGCTACGCAAAAATCTTTTTTGGAGCAATATTGTGAAATAAACATATGTATAATCTAAGGAGTTTTAATGCAGTTTTTATTAATGTTTGATCAGGGTGGAAATAGCAATATTGACAAATGTTTCCGGTTTAATAAATTAAATGAAAAACTCTTCGCCCAAATCAAACTGTAATGGTATCAATCCCTGAATATGATAAAAGTACGAATTACTATCGAATCTATAACAGTTTTCAATATTCTATTTCCATCCAGGTTATTTCTCGCTTTAATGGCAGAGAATTCGGGAACTTTCGCACCTGGACCGAGCTTTTGGCAGACAGGCAATTCCATGAGAATGGGACCCAATGCTACAGTTGATAACTTTTTCAAGAGTTCATTAAAAGAGCGAGAGCCAAACTTCACCCTCTGGCAATAGCTTTGTTTGGAAGCCAGTGCAGACTTCTATGCACATTCGTAGCTATTCTATTAAAATAATGCATGGCTTTCTTGAAAGAAATTTTTCTATTTCAGTTTCCTTTACGACATAAGATAATTTCGATTCCTAAATGACTAATGATCGGTGCAAATGTGTTCCCGGGCCAAATCCTGCCAAGTAATTAGTTATTTAACTGCAAGACGAGCGATTTATACTACGGCCTATGCCTTAACTGCTTTGTCGATACCGGGGGTAGTTTGCCCCCAGATTTCGAGGGTCGGCTTAGCCCGTGCTTAGTCCTAATTCAATTTTAAACTCTAATTGGCCTAGTTTAGTCACGACGACATTCGACTAAGCAACATAGTAGAATATCATCAAATTTTAAAATACTAACAATTCCGTATATGGGTTGATGAAAAAAGGTATTGCTCCTATCAATTTTTCTTTGGTCAGCAACATCCGAAAAATTTTGTCCTTGTTTTATAAGGTGAAATAGTGTCGCTTGGTGAACGCATTTATGAATGTAGAATTTCTCTTTGAATAAGTCGAGTATCATTGGAGTGACACATTTTGTTCGCTCTCCTTGATATATGATTGGATAGACTCTTTTAGATGGTATTTTATCAGTTTCCAGAAAACTAGTTGCTTTTTTAAAAGAAAATGTGTCTGTGTTTCTTCCTTGAAATCTATGAACCTGCAAGGATTCCATCAATGCAAGGAAATAGGAATGGAAAGTATCATTTCTTGCTTCTGTCAACTCGTTTGATCTGGTCTGAACGATCAACCCCTCCCATATTTGCATTAGATATAACTTTTCATCATTTCTGCTTGAACGACTAGTCTGTACTTTTCCTTTTTCTGAGAATACTTCTGCACTTAATGAGTTAAATTTTTCATTGGTAACTATCATTTCTCATATGATCCTCGATTCAGCTGGAAAAGTACCTAACTATGTGTGTGGTATCTTCCTCAATTTGAGAGCTCTCAGCTTCGACCAAAAGCTTCAATTGATGGAATAAAAATTCAAATCAGTAAGGTATCTATTGTATATTGATTTTTTCTTCTTGCCTTTATT